AGCAATGTGGCTCTTTGACCAGTTGAGTGTGACTAGGTCTCTATCGTGGCTACTGCTTCAGAGCTGGTTGAACATCATGGCTCTAGAGTGACAGATTCCCTGTGAAGGTAGATTTACACACACCCTAGCTTTCAGATTCACTCTTGAAATGATCCATTTTCTGTTGATGTTCTGAAGATCTTTATGCTGTATTGCCTGAATGTCTGATCCTTAAAGGCTGCTAGAATCTTAATCAGCTACCTGTAACAGGTCCCATTTACTTATACCTGGTGCAATTGCCTATATAGCTTTATAACTGTCTGAAATGTAGATTCAAAACTCTGCTGAGAATGATAGCTATGTCCGCCTTGCAAGCTCTAATGATGTGTTGTTTTTCTGTAATGAGCTGTAGTATTTTTACATTTCTATTTGGCATTTGGTTGCTTTCTTTAATTTTTTAATAAAATAAATTCCAAATAGTTTACTACCCTTCAAGGCTTCCATGACACCCTTTTCTTTTTGTAGGGTACAAAGGGATCCAAATGAACACTTCATATCCAAGCTAATGTTTCTATCTTGCTCCTGCGCCTAGAACACCCTGTCCTGCATGCAAATACTCTTTAAATCATATCTCCTCATGAATGCCCTTCCTTCCTTCCTCCCCTCACCTGGCAACCTGGGCTTGGCTTTGTGTTTGACTAATCTGGCCTAGGCCCAGAGCCTGCTAACGCTTATGCATGTGAGTACAGTTATGCATGAGAGTTGCTGTACTCATATGAGTAAGTATTTGCAGAATCAAGCATTAGAAGGAACCATGTTGCCATAGGAGCTTAAAGACTATGTTTAAAGTGCAGGGTAAGTTTATGGTGCTATATAAATGTCTTCCCCATATCTCATGTATTTCCCACCTTTACAGATTCTTATGGGGGAAAAGAGGAAATGCTCAGATTAAGCCCCCTGTCCCAAGCTAACCAAGACCACCTTTCCAGCTGCCTGTAGCCTGTCTTCTAGCCACAGACTGCAAGGAAATTACACCAAGGCTGAATTGTACCCAAGTTCTTTTCCAAGAACCCAAGTGCAATAAAAATGAACAGTAAACAGCACAGTGATAGCACTCGTGCTAATCCAAAACAGATTATGAGATTTAGGCCTTGTCTACACTGGCAAATTACTGCACAGTAAATCAGCTCCTAGCACTTTAACTCGCAGTCACTGCACTTCCATGCATACCAACATATATTATTGACTTTCCGCATCAAATTGCTGCCTCAAGGCATCCCTGATCCTTATGGCCCCGCGTGGTGGTTCTCTAACTGCCCCACTCTCGGGCTGAGCCTCAGCAGTCTAGCTCTCAGTGAAGCTTTCACCCTTCCCGTCACAAATACTATGGGGAGTACAGCATGCGGCTAGAAGCATGGGGATGTTGTCATCGGCCAGGTCCAGCTTCTCATACAGACATCGCCAGCAGGTTTTTAAATGGCCAAAAGCACACTCAACAGTCATTCTGCACCTGCTCATCCTGTTGTTGAACTGCTCCTTGCTGTTGTCAAAACTCCCTCTTAGGGGTGTTAAAACGTGTTTAATTACGTAAATGTGTAAATGCTGGAAATGTTTCTTCCACACTGAGGATGTGATTCCAACACTCGGTGCTTGTTTCCTGAGCCTGCATGTGGTGTTTCACTGTGTTCAGATCCTCTGTGAATGCTACAAGACAGCTCATGTCGTAGCTTCTGTGCATGGAATGATCAGCATCCGACTCTTCATCTTCACTCTGTAGTTTAAGCCAGGGGGTTTCAAACTTTTTTTTCTCATGACCCAGTTGAAGAAAATCTTTGATGCCGTGACACACCATAATGTGACTGGAGTGTGGGCTGCAGGGTGAAGCAGAGGATGAGAGCTTTGGGGTGTAGGAAGAGGTTCCATCTTTGGGGGTGTCAGGGCTCGAGCGGCTTCCCTTGAGTGCCTCCCAGTCAGTGGTACAGCGGAGGTGCTAAGGCAGCTTCCTGCCTCTCCTAGCTCCACAGACCATGCTATACCACAGAAGCAGCCAGCAGCAAGTTCCCAGCCAATGGGAATGCGGAGCTAGTGCACGGGGCAGGAGTAATGCATGGAGCCCTATGCACTTTTCACACACTTTGGAGCTGGGCCTGCTTCCAGCCACTTCTGGGGCACAGTGCAGTCTGCAGTGCCGGGACAGGCAGGTAGCCTGCCCTAGCATCCCCCACTGGTCACCTGATCCCCCTGAAGAAATGAGACCCAGTGCCTGACATCCCATGACCCAGTACTGGGTTACGACCTGTCATCTGAAAAGCACTGGTTTAAGGAATAACTCGACTGCCATTCATGACCTATCAGCATTTTCTCCAGCTGTTTAGGATCCATTCCTGCAATCCTAGGAGGCAGAGTGAACAGTATAAAAGCCATTGAAAGATGGCACCAAAATGTGGATAGAAGCACAGGGATTGCTGAGATGCAAAGTGATGCACCATGGAGCATTGGCACTGTGAAAAGCACTGGTTTAAGGAATAACTCGACTGCCATTCATGACCTATCAGCATTTTCTCCAGCTGTTTAGGATCCATTCCTGCAATCCTAGGAGGCAGAGTGAACAGTATAAAAGCCATTGAAAGATGGCACCAAAATGTGGATAGAAGCACAGGGATTGCTGAGATGCAAAGTGATGCACCATGGAGCATTGGCACTGGCTCCTGGATGCCCCATAACCTCCTCCCTCCCCCCCCCCCCCCCAAACCCGTTCTCCCT